GAAAAGTGTAAAGTCTAAATGTAAGAGTGAACATGTTTTGTGAGAAAAGTATAAAGTCTAAATGTAAGAGTGAATGCATTTTGTGACCAAAATGTAAAGTCTAAATGTTAGAGTGAATACATTTTGTGAGAAAAGTGTGAAGTCTAAATGTAAGAGTGAATTAGTTTTGTGGGACGTCTAAAAGTGTAAAGTCTTAATGTAAGAGTGAATTAGTTTTGTGGGACGTCTAAAAGTGTAAAGTCTTAATGTAAGAGTGAATTAGTTTTGTGGGACGTTTAAAAGTGTAAAGTCTAAATGTAAGAGTGAATTAGTTTTGTGGGACGTCTAAAAGTGTAAAGTCTTAATGTAAGAGTGAATTAGTTTTGTGGGACGTTTAAAAGTGTAAAGTCTAAATGTAAGAGTGAATTAGTTTTGTGGGACGTTTAAAAGTGTAAAGTCTAAATGTAAGAGTGAATTAGTTTTGTGGGACGTTTAAAAGTGTAAAGTCTTAATGTAAGGTCTGAAAAAGTTTAGTTTAACAAACAACAGGGGGGCGGTCATTGATCTACCCACGTGACGTTAGCAGACGAACGTTGATTGGCTGTTCATATGGTCATGGATTGCTTGAATTATTTAGTGTGGTTTCGTCTTTTAGAAAACTTAAAAAAAAAAAACAAGCAACAACACACAAACAAAAGAACAAAGTACAAAAACAAACAGCAACATATTAACAAACAAAGAAACAAAAATAAACAAAAAACAATACATAACAAAAGAAAAACAACTTAGGTCTAGCATGTATATTTTAATATGAACTTTCCAGTTTCATCAGAGACGAAAATTTAAATTAAAGCTAGCCTTAACCCTAACTCCAGGTTAATGTTAAGTCTTAACTTTAATGTTTAGTGTACGATACCATTAAAAAACAAAGGAAATTGAAATTAAATTAACTTTTAACAACAAGCCTCATTTTGATTGGCTAATCAATGTGAAATAGAAAAGTTATAGCCAACAGAAATCAAGATTAGTTTTTGCGTACGGAGCATCAAAGAAGGGTTAACGGAATCCAACTCATTCGTCAGGCTAAGTTTGATTCACATTCTAGATCCCGTCACGTGTAATGAATTGAGCGGGAAAACTACACCCCCTTCCCCCCCCCCCCCCCAGCAAACGTGCCATAATCAAAAGATAGTGAAAAAATTAACTTCAAGTCCATGATGTAAAGTGTCTTCTAACAATTAAAAATGTTGCTTAACCGGAAGTTAAGGAATTCTACAAGCAGACGTGAAGAGGACATCCGGGTAATTTGGTCAAGATGACGTCATGTCATTTGGTACATAAAGGCCCACGTGTGGGACCATGCACTGCTGAGATATTTAATTAGTCCGTATAATGAGTTCATAATGACACTTGATTACCAACCAATTCTCCATTTCTATTTGAGGACGATAATATTTCTAGAACAATCCAATTACGTCATGTCGTACCGCCATAAGGGACGTGCGTGTGTGTGGGTGTGTGAGGGTGGGGTGTGGGAGGTGTTGATTGTCTTTTTGTGAAATAGTGAGGAAAGTAATTTAATTCCCACCGCCTTGAGCGATAATGCGTTTGATTGGTTGTTATTTAGGGATCCACCATTGCACTCAAATTATAATGCGTTTGATTGGTTGTTATTTAGAGATCCACCATTTCACTCAAATTGCTGGGATAGTTTGATTTGTGCTAGGATCAATGAGCGACACAAATACCGACAGGATATTCTAGTTCTTCTTAATCGTTCTTGCCTAAGACACATGGGGCAGATGAAATAAAGTTCATCTGAATCAGTGACCTCGGCATATGAAGGGATAGTGTGGTCAGCACTATGCTCAGCCGCCTTTGTTTCCCTAACGTAAGTTAGGTACCTATCAGAGCTGGGTGGACTCAGGGACGTGATTTGAACCTGGATTCGAACTCGAGAATCTCGAGTTAGAAGTCTAGCTCCCTACCGCTAGGCCACGCCGTCCCCTATTCTAGTTACACCTACGAAAAAAATATATCCGGAACGCTATTTTTTGTGGCCTTATCTTCTTTTCACGTTCGTGCCCAAGACACATGAGGCAGATGACGTAGAGTTAATATATTTAAGTACCCTTGGCATGCAGGGGATAGTGTGGTCAGCCGCCTTAATTTCCATATGAGTCAGGTACCCATTAAAGCTGGGTGAACCCTGACACGCACTACAGTCTCGAGCCCGGGATACGAACTCGAGACTTCCGGGTTAGCAGTCGTCAGCTCTACCACCCAAACCTAACTAATTTTGTATAGAACTTTAACAAAGAGTTGTCTAACTTAGTCTTATTTGGCAAGTTTACTTAAAAAGTTGTATCGGGGTCGGTCGGATTGAAATGTTAACTTAAAGTTGTGTCGGGGCCGGTCGGATTGAGGGTCACTGGGTCTGAATAGCTTGGGATTTAAAATGTCATTTTTTTTCAGGACGTAACATTTTTAAATGTCATAATTATGTAAGGATAGCATGGGATGTTAAAATGTCATATTTATGTAAGGATAGAATGTGATGCTAAAATGTCATATTTATGTAAGGATAGAATGGGATGTTAAAATGTCATATTTATGTGAGGATAGAATGGGATGTTAAAATGTCATATTTATGTGAGGATAGAATGGGATGTTAAAATGTCATATTTATGTGAGGATAGAATGACATTTAAAAATGTCATATTTATGTAAGGATAGAATGAGATTTTAAAATGTCATATTTATGTGAGGATACAATGAGATTTAAAAATGTCATATTTTTAATCGGATAGAATGAGATTTGAAAATGTCATATTTACATAAAGTGAACCTGAAATGAATCCACTGTTCACAAAACGACATTGCTAAAAGCGTCTAATCAGTTTAAGATAACACACGTCATATTTTAAAGACAATAAACATTTCTGGAAATGTTTTTTTATAAAAAAATGTTAGGACGATGTTTGTTTACCTAGAATGTTGACTGTGGGGTAGTGGGGGGGGGGGGGGGGGGGGGTGGGTAAATGTCGGGCCTGTCATCTCTAAGTCTGCCAGACAGACGGCGATGGTTGGAAGAAACGCTTACAGTGAAAACAAGCTGTCGTCTGATATAGTGTGGACACACAACCAAACACAACGTCAAAGAACAGACGTCAGATGTGTCTGAAATTATTATTTTTTTGCCGCGTTTTTAAAAATCGGTTTAATTGAGAGTGATGTCCCTTGCATAATACATTTTTTGAAGGGAAACAATTCAAGTGGAATTTAGAATTATTTGATTATTTTTAAACAAAAAAAAAAATCTGTGTCGTAAATTTAAAATAAAAATTGAATAAAAAAATGAGTAGCAAGGCGTGTGATATTTTGCTGGCTGTCGATTTCCTTGGTTGGTGTTAAAAATAGAACAAGATTCAGACGCTACAATGTCAGCCCTAATAACGTGTTGGGGGTGGGGGTGGGAGAGGGTATACACAAGTCGCTGTGTAGTTATTGGATACAATATCTGTTTCACATGACGCTTTTGTGCGAGCATACGACAGGGTGACTCCTCTATGTCAACGATACAAGTGTGACCCATCTATGTATGTAACAAGAACGTCACTAAATGTGACATGAGGTGGGCCATAGTTCTAGAAAATCACCTCAAGTGACGCGAGATGGGCCATATATCTAGAACGTCACCAAATGTGACATGGGACAGGGCCATAGATATAGAATGTCACCAAATATGACACGAGGTGGGCCATAGTTCTAGAAAATCACCAAAAGTGACATTGGGTTGGCCATAGATTTAGAACGTCACCAAATATGACATGGTGTGGGCCATATAAGATGAACAGAAAATCATCAGACCAGAGCCATGTTCTAGATAGCGCGATGACATGACACTGACGTATGATTTTTCATGTTATGTACACTGACCATACAAGTCTTAAGGCGACGAGTGGGGGGATGCTGGGAGAAAGTCAAAATACACTACAAAAAAAAAAATCAAAACACTTTCTGAACGTCGAAAATAATCCTAAACAAAGCACCCAAGAATTTGTCCTACAGTCTCACAAGACAAGAAGATTAATCCTGGTTCAAATCATTCCCCGCCTTAACTTAACAAAACCTAACAACAGGGTTTCCCTTAACCGAAGTTTGTTACGACCTTTGTTCGAGCTACAATAGGATTTCTGGTAGTAATTTGTACAACAGGAAAGTGTAATCATCTATTTCAACCACAAGTTTTAGCGTTTTTTTTTAAACTGTTGCCAGCTGTCTAGGCCATCATATCTAGATCTATATCTATTTGTGTACAATTTGAATTTCAGAATTCGAGTATTTTTTGTTTTTCGACTGCTGTTATTAATTAGCCTAAACTAGAAAGTTTTTTCAATGAAATATATTTACGTACTAAAACTAAAGAGAAATCGAAGCACACAAAATTGTCCTCGCAAAATATATTTATTTGTAATTTTATAATTTGTTAAAAAAAATGTTTTACAAATAACATTAAATTAAAAAAAAAACTCTTACAGTAAACGTTAAGTTCGAAGTTCAAAAATAAATAGCAGCGCAGAATGCCTTAGACTCTAATCTCTGTTCAAATGTCTACAATAGAGACAACAAGGAAGGCCCTAAAGCATGATCCATGTCCTTTTGATACAATGTCGCAATAATAATTACGTCAAGTGAAATTTGTTTTAACAAATACAAAACTAACAAACATGTTAAATTTTGAAATTTCAGAAACAAAAGGAGAAAAAAAATCTTTTAATACGTAAGTAATTGTATACGGCTTGAGTTTATAGATCTAGTTGTAAAATAAATAAAACAAGTATTAAATCATGAACATTTTTATTTTCGAAAAAAAAAACGAAATATGAAATTCAATAAATGATAATAAAAAACTGCAACAGATATATTGGGTCCAACGAATTTGTTCTTTTTTAAATAAAAATAAAAGTAGGCCTATTAAGCGCACAGATTTTTCACAACAAGTGATTTTAAAAACTCACTGTAAGGTCCATAGTTGGTGAAGTAGAGTTAACGTTTCGTCCAGGTGTTTCAAAAGTTGGCCATCAAGTGATGCCGGCCGAGAGTCCAGTCTGCTGTGTCTCGCTCGGCACCTGATCGCCCACTTTCAACACCCGCCACCAGGGGGAGCGACGGTGCAAAAAATCGTCTGCTCATCCCCGATTGGACGAAACGAGGTTTTATTGGCTCGTGCGGTCTCGTGGCAGACAAACTCACGCGTGATCTTGGCGGGATCGACGTATTTAATTAGCCTCACCAGCCTCGATCTGAGGGAAAAAACTTAATTACACCCGCATTGTTCGTCATGGTCTTTGATAGACACAGATATTTTAGGAGAAGTTGAACTACAGACACAGATATTTTAGGAGAAGTTGAACTACAGACACAGATATTTTAGGAGAAGTTGAACTACAGACACAGATATTTTAGGAGAAGTTGAACTACAGTCACAGATATTTTAGGAGAAGTTGAACTACAGACAGATATTTTGGGAGAAGTTGAACTACAGACAGATATTTTAGGAGAAGTTGAACTACAGACACAGATATTTTAGGAGAAGTTGAACTACGGACACAGATATTTTAGGAGAAGTTGAAATACAGATATTTTAGGAGAAGTTGAACTACAGACTCAGATATTGTAGAAGTTGAACTACAGACACATATTTTAGGAGAACTAGATTAAAATACAACACTTTTATTCGACTAGAGAACAATGTGTGTGTGTGGTTTGATCCAAGAGGGGTGGGGGTGTGACCACACCATAGAGGTGTGAGGTGTAAATGACCTATTTAGTAAAGTCATATTTTCAATAGGACAAACGCCCCATCGACTTCACCAAACGAGATGCTGTTCATCAAACTAGACGGGGCGGATGTGTCGAATGATGCCATCACTCTTAGGACAAGTTGATTGATTGATTTCTGAAGTTCGACGTTCTTTTTCACTCTAGATCACAACAAAACAAAGGATTTAGTGACGTTACTATCGGAGAAGAAAAAAAATACGACAATATGTTGGATTAAAAAAAAAAGCCAACTGTTGCTTAAAAGAAATTAAGGAAAACAAGGAAATAAACAAAATATTAATTGTATTATTTTCCTCCTCAATCCGTTGTCTGTTTCATTGCACGCACGTTAGAAAGATGCATTTTTTCCTTGCTTTGATGTTGGATAGGAAAATATGAACAAATCAAAGGGTAGCCTCCCTTTACTCACTCGTCTGTTAGCTCCCTTGGCTTAAATTCATCCTGAAAATCACGCAAGTGTCAGACACACGAGATTTGTCAGTCAGTCGTCAACGCCAGCCTGTGGATGTGATGGACTGATAGCTGATAGGGCAGTGGATGGTGGATGGGTTGATAGCACAGTGGATGGTGGATGGGTTGATAGCACAGTGGATGGGTTGATAGCATATTGGATGTGATGGACTGATAGCTGATAACACAGTGGATGGTGGATGGGTTGATCGCTGATAACATATTGGATGCTGGATGGGTTGATAGCTGATAGCACAGTGGATGAGCTAGACTGATAGCTGATAGCACAGTGGATGAGCTAGACTGATAGCTGATAGCACAGTGGATGGGTTGATAGCAGAGAGGATGGGTTGATATCACAGTGGATGGGTTGATAGCACAGTGGATGTGATGGACTGATAGCTGATAGCACAGTGGATGGGTTGATAACTACTGTTAACTAAATAAATAAGTAAAAATTCAAATCAATTTTTCTAATACACATTTATTTCGTCATATTTGGTGGAAAAATGTTTTATTATGCTACAGCGTAGCACAATAATAATCATTCTTTGCCAGTGTCTATAAATGCTTGATTTAAGAAAAGAAAAAATAAACCGGGAGTGATCTCCCCTAAACTTTCTCGAATATTCTTATATAACTTGGAATATAGACATGATTTTTAATTACTTAAACTTTTAAAAATAGAATAGAATCTCATAGAAAAAAGAATTGCACACCAAGCGAACGCCTAAAAAAAATATGCATAATAGTGCGCAATATTATTAGTACTTTATAAATTTAAATGCGTTTTTTGAGAAATTGGAAATAGCGTAAATTAGAACTTCCAGTCAACGGAAATTACTCAAATTTTGACAGAAGGTAGAGAATTAGATATTTTACTTACATGTGAAATTTCATTTATCTATCTAAAATATTACTCAAGTTATAGGCTTTTGAAAAATTCAAAGTAGAAAAAGTACCTTTTCCGGTTATCGGAAATCGCACAAAAGTTGATACGGATATAAGATTATGGTAAAATACTTATATATGAAATTTCATCAGCCTAGCTGTAACGGTACTCAAGTTATCGTGTTTACACACAGACAGACACACACACACACACATACACAGACAGACAGACACACAGACATACGGACAAGATTGCAAAATTATGTTTTTCCGTATCAGTGAGGTGTAAAACGTCGAGATTTAAAAATCTCGATTTTTTTTTTGCACGATTACAAGACTTTCTCTATATGAGAAAGTAAAAATGCCCCTGAGCAGTTTTTTGCGCAGTTTTCAGTTGCACATTTTCCCGATCACCGTATCAAATAGCCTACATTCCCAGGGACGGTAGAACACCAACGTTCGATAACTTCAGTATCAAGGGAGCTAATCCACGCGCCTTTACTGCTGATATCCGCTGACCTTTGCACTACCTTTCTCGACCAATCAAATCCTGACAGCTCATTCAGCTGACCACGAGGCGAGTAGCGGGCCTTGTGGCGAGGAAATCTCTAAATAACCAGATCTCTTATGAAAAAAATAGTTCATCAAATCGCATGCGCTGTTAGGCTTAGACGTATGACCTTGAACCTGCTATGACCGGAAGTTGGCTTTAAAATGTGTTCTCCTTCCGTCTGACACTTCAAACAACGTCATTTCGTCCTGCTGGTCGGGGGTTGGTATTTTTGACATACTTCAGTCGCGAACAGATGTAGTGTAGGTGAAGTAGAGTGCACCTGTTTCTTTGACATCGGTTTGTATGGTGAATGGGTCAAGTACGCTTCCACTACCAACCAGTGCTATAGACGGTGCTGGTTTTAGAAAGCTGAGGCGGAAATTTTTAACACTGAACAGACACACAAACAGACAAACAATCGAATGAACATACACATAAACAAACAAAAAAATCAAACAAACGCTCAAACAAAGAAACGAACGAACGTACCCAAACAAGGTTAGCCCGGTTACCTGAGGTTAACCCGGTTAGCCGAGGTCAACCCGGTTAGCTCTGATTACCTAAGGTAAGCCGAGGTTAACCCGGTTAACCCATGTTAGCAAAGTTTAGCACGGTTAGCTTGGGTTAGCCCGGTTAGCTGAGGTTAACCCGGTTAACCCATGTTAGCACGGTTAGCTTAAGTTAGCACGGTTAGCTGAGGTTAACCCGGTTAACCCATGTTAGCACGGTTAGCTCGGGTTAGCACGGTTAGCTGAGGTTAGCCATGAAAGTTTAGCGCGGTTAGCCAAAGTTAGCCCGGATATCCCTACACATAAACACGTGTACTCTACTTCACTAGCCCCATAGACCGTCGGGTAAAAGGGGAACTTTATTGGGCTGGTAGCCTTAAGACCCGTGGTCGCACCTACACCCTACACACCACACACTGGGAGGGTGACAGTATACTACACACTACACACTGGGAGGGTGACAGTATACGAGCCAGCTCTACATTACGACCACGCCGTGAATTTCCTATCAAATTCAGCCTTGAAACTATTCCAATCGTGTACTTGTGATCTTTTAAAACAATTTTTTATGACAGGGTATTTCCGTTTCTTTAGCTATTTTAAGCACTTCCGGAAATATCCGCACACGTACTGATCGAACGAATAAAAACAAAAAAAGTGGAATTTCCAAATCAAAATAACTTTAAATAGTATACATTAATTTGCGCTTTTTCGACCAGAATAAAACTCAAAACTTAATGCAATAAGTGTCAATCTAAAGAACAAAACAAATTATTTTTATGTAAATCCTTTAAGGTAATGCAAAAGTGCATTATAAGTTTAAAGATGTCTGTTATTTGGTTTCGAACTCAGCCTTTTGCTAAGAAATATAGTAAATAGGTTGAGGCAACCAACGAATTGAACTTTATCAGAACTGAAGGTCCATATGGCCACTTCTCTAACTCAAGCCAGGTACCCACTAAAGCTGAGTGGTCTCAAAGTTTACGATGGGACAGCTTTAGTCTCTATCCTAATTCACGTTCACGCTTTTCTCACTAACAAGACCACACGAGTTGTATTCTGATATCGTCTATTAAAAAAATATGCAACGAATGAAATAACATAAGGTATATGAGTTCTCCAAGGATACAGTTTGGTCGCCTACTGAACCGACCACACAGACCAATGTAAACATTGCTTTAGCCGACCACGACTTATAAACAAAGTCGGCAGTCCGTCTTGAAGCTTTGAAACCCAGTGCATGCAAAACTTCTGTGAACTGTAAGTCATAGGCTACTATAGTACATATTCAGCCACAGAACAAGCCGCAAGATCTATAGAGCAATATCTTGCAAGATCTATTGAACAATATCTTGCAAGATCTATGGAACAATATCTTGAAAGATAGAAAATACAGAAACAGAGGATAGTCTCTACCAGAGACGGGTTACGATGACCTGGTGGTATATCCAGTGCGCATCATGTTACTGCGCACCACCTTACTGAGCATAATGTATTATGTTACTCCGCATTACGCATCCTGTTTCTGAATTATGTTACTGCGCATTACGCATTACGTGTTTCATGTTTCTGCACATTACGCGTTATGTTACTCCGCATTACGCATCCTGTTTCTGCGTATTACGCACTATGTTACTGCGCATTACGTTACTGCGCATTACGCATCATGTTATGTTATATATGTTATATATATATATTTATCTATATACATATATATATATATATATATATATATATATATATATATATATATATATATATATATATATAAACATCTAGGAACGGCCATGTTTACATCGTGACGTCACTTCCGTGAGGAATAATCCACCCCTGCCCTACATCCGCGCGGCTATCCGGCCGTCAAGTGGAGACGACCGTCTGCATAAAAAGTCGCAATTTTTTTTGTCTCCCCTACCGGTGGAGCTGGAGTG